TATCCCGGCCTGAAGCCCGACTGGAGCGGGTCTAGATAGACCGTTTCCTCCAGGTGTCGGGGGAGCTGCCGCGCAACCACACTCTCCACAACCTTCGCCACAAAGCGAAGGTTGGAGACCGGACGATAGTTAGCTAATACATCTGGGTCCAGGGAAGGCTTCTTAAGAAGGGGCCTCACCACCGCTTCCTTCAAGGCTATGGGGAAGACACCCTCCTGCAAAGAAGCGTTTATAATTCCCTGGAGCCAGGCTCGTGTACCCTCCCGGGCAGCCAGTACCAGCCAGGAGGGGCACGGATCCAGTAAACATGTGGTTGCATTCAGCCTCCCGAGAATCCTGTCCACATCCTCAAGAGCCACAGAGTCAAACTCCTCCCATATAACAGTCTCAAGACTTACTCCTGTCTCCTCCCCTGGGGCCACCCAGTCAGAGTCAAGACCTTCTCGGATCCGAGCGACTTTGTCATACAGATATTGAGCAAAATCCTCGGCCCTCCCCCCCAGGGGATCCTCCCCCCCCTCAACTGGAGGAGGGAGCAAGTCACCCTGAAGAGGGTGGCCGGGCGATTATCTGATGACGCAATGAGGGAAGCCCAAGGTCTGTAAGCTGCAACAGCCTTGTATGTGCTGATAGTCTCTGCAGCTGGCTTGACAATCCCTTATATAGCTGGGCTGGGATAGGATAAGATGGCTGGTGAGATGACGGGGGGGGAACTGTAGATAGAATCAAGATCACGTGAAGTATTAATACCACTTTACAATGCCTTAGTAAGGCCACACTTGGAATACTGCATCCAGTTTTGGTCACCACGGTGTAAAAAAGATGCTGAGACTCTAGAAAGAGTACAGAGAAGAGCAAAAAAGATGATTAGGGGACTGGAGGCTAAAAGATATAAGGAACAGTTGCTGGAATTGGGTATGTCTAGTTTAACGAAAAGAAGGACGAGGGGGGACATGATAGCAGTGTTCCAATATCTCAGGGGCTGCCACAAAGAAGAGGGAGTCAAGCTATTCTCCAAGGCGCTTGAAGGCAGGACAAGAAGCAACGGATGGAAACTGATCAAGGAGAGAAGCAACTTAGAACTAAGGAGAAACTTCCTGACAGTTAGAACAATTAACCAATGGAACAACCTGTCTCCAGAAGCGGTGAATGCTCCAACACTGGAAGTTTTTAAGAAGAGACTGAACAGCCATTTGTCTGAAATGGTGTAGGGTTCCTGCCTGAGCATGGGGTTGGACTCGATGACCTCCATGGTCCCTTCCAACTTTATTATTATTATTATTATTATTATTATTATTATTATTATTATTATTATTATTATTATTATTGTTGTTGTTGTTGTTGTTGTTGTTGTTGTTATTATTATTATGTCGTAAGGGTGAATGACTTCAGAGACATTGTAGTGGCCATAACTTGGAAAATGGGTTGTAACTAGTTTTTTGGGGGGAGGGTCCGTCATAATTTTAAATGGTTGCTAAACGATCAGTTGTAAATTGAGGACTACCTATATATGCTTTAACAGAGAAAAATTTGCATCATAATGGATTTAAAAAATAATAATAATTGTCAAATAGTAAATTCTGTCATTAATTCCTCAATTTTCTCCAAAATGTGATCCTTTTCCATTCAATTAATCCCAATGTCATGAATTAAGCTGACTTAAAAAAAAGTTGGTGAAATATTTTACTGAGGAAGGGGTTTGAAATATACCATGATTGGAAATCTGGAGAGAAAAGTACAAGAGGGATGAAATCTGCAGAGATTACAGAAGAACAGAGAGCCCTAGTGGTGCAGCAGTTAGAATGCAGTACTGCAGGCTAACTCACTGCTCACTCCTGGAGTTCGATTCTGACGGCTCAAGGTTGACTCAGCCTTCCATCTTTCCGAGGTCGGTAAAATGAGGACCCAGATTATTGGAAGCAATAGGCTGACTGCTTAGAAAGGGCTGTAAAGCACTATGAAGTGATACATAAGTGCTCTTGCTATAGAACTGGAGGAGAGGAAAAGAGAAACAGGTAGATTTAAAGACAGAAATGAATAGGAGAAGATTGGTAGTATAGAAACTAGGCTGCATGCAGGAGAGAGAAAAAAAAGGGGGGGGGAGAGGCAGGTGAAGCAGGTGGGAGGAGAGAATGCTTCTTTTTCTGCTCCAGTCAAGAGAGTCATTGTCTGGACAGTTACATCTTCCTTCCTCAAATGTTATGCAAATTTCCCTTCTTATAGTAATCAAATCTGAAAAACCTTTCCAGTGATATGAAAGGAGACTCAGAACTGTGAAAAATAAGTTTGAGGCCGAAGAATCACAGGAACTTTAGAAATAGACATAAAAGATATTCAGAGGAAAAAGCTAAGGGATAGGGTATCACAATTGCTGTAAAGGTAATTGGCATCATAACTAACAAAAAAGAATGAGAACTCCAGAAAATAAGTAATAAGGTATACTGAAATAAGCACTTATCAGAATGTTTTCCTTCATTCCTTCCCTCCCTCCTCTTTCTTTTTTGTAGTTTTTTCTGTTGCAGTTGCATAGAATCACTCTTTATACTAAGAAAAAAGTGTACAGTCTGTTTTGGTGGAAAGCCAAGGTGATTAGAGTTTAGATAATGAAGCTGTACTCTGTAACTGCTCCTTTTCTACAGAGAATGACTACATCATTTATTACTTGTTTTTATGATTGCTTCATCACACTGATTAATTTATAACTATTTAAGCATTTATTTATTCATTCTGCAACTGTTTTCCTCATTGCAAGACTATCGTGATGTTAGAAACTGTATTTCAAATCTCAGATGACAACCTAGAAATTGCAGAGAAGATTCTGGAAGATGATATACATTTTCTAGCAAATCATACTGGAACAATAATGTAGTGTTCACTGTGTTAATATATGGCCAATGAGTCCTAGTTTTAAACTCTCACTGACAAGATTCTTTTGAAGAAAAAACTAATGTGGGAAAGCTATAAACATTGGCCTCAGATTCTTAAAGGAATCTATATATCCATCTATACATAACTATCTATACATGTCTGTCTGTCTGTCTGTCTGTCTGTCTGTCTGTCTGTCTGTCTATCTATCTAATAAATAAGCAAGCAAAAAATAAGATCCTGCAAGAAAGCTGAGATGGAATAATTTAGTGTAATGCCTTTAGAAGAGACTTCTCCCAAAAAACTTCACTGGACAGCTTTGGGCATTTTTCAAGACCTCCATGTAGCACCTCTGTTCAGCAAGCTATGCTGGCTCTTAGGTCCAATTTATCATCTGCAAAACCCTAAGTGGCTCAAGGCCAGGTTATTTGTAAGATCACTTGTCTTCCATTGTTTCTGTTTGCCCCATCAAAATCAGCTGGGTTGGCATGCTCTGATCCCATCTAACGTACCATCTTATGGGATCCAAGAGTCAGTCATTCCGTCTCTGTCTACAGCCTCTGCCCGGTGGAATAACATCCCTTCAGAGGTCTGAACAGTTTTGACACTATTGGACTTGGATGTATCCGCAGGCATTTGGGCTAGCTTAAATGGGCCCTGTGTTTAGTTATACTGTAGTCTTTTTAACTAGAGGAGGAATGATTTTTCAACCTCAAGCTTGTGTTATATTATGGAGACTTAGCAACAGAAACTTTTATTATTTTTCTGTTTTCTTACTATCTGTACACTGCCTAGGGTTACTCTTGCAGATTTGGTAGCTATAGATTGTCAGTACCTACTTACATTTCTATTAGCTTTGGAATTCTCTTCTGTATGTAAGAGTCTGGTCCAGCGAATCACCACAGAGAAATATGGGAATTTTTGGTAAGTGGAATAAAACTGAATGTCTTTGATCTAACTACCAGTTAAGGGAGATTTTTTGGCTTCTGTTATGCAGTCTATCATTAGCACCATGGTGATAAATGTGAAATTTTAAATAAGTATAAGTATTATATAATGATTTGGATAATAACTGTTTTATATTTTTACTGTTTTACTGGATTGTTCTACACCACTCAGAGTAGTTTTCTGCGACATGGGAGCTATATAAATTTTATTAATGGATAAAAATAATGAATATATTGTATATTACTATATTTGGACATTATTTCTGCAGGAAATCCAAAAATTTGGCTGAAGACTATCTCGACAGTGAAATCTTAAAATATTTTTCTTATCCAACAAAGAACTCTAGAAATTTTAAAGACAACATCTGTAATCAGTTTGTTCATGAATAAGGGTCTAGTTTATTATGTACAACCAACTGCATTCAAACAGATCACTTCCCATTATAAATTCTTAATGGAACTGGTTCACTACTGTGCATATCTTCAAGGTTATGATTAAAACATACCTGGAATAATTCTACTAAGATTGCTAGCATTTAATATAAACAACTCAATTAGAAAAACAAAAAACATTATGGACTTACCAATTGGCACTTCTAAAATGAAATCTGGTGTTTTGTCATAACCCTTTGCACGTAACTGATCTTCAGCTATAGAGAGAATAGATGATATAAACAATAGTATTATTCTATTAGCTGATAGAAGAACAATTAATTCGCTTTTGAACAAAGGTACAAGAATTACTAATGCACTCATACATATCCTTCTAATGCATGCAATGCTGTGTCAAGTTTAAATGAACCTTCTTGGTAAACCTGAAACATGAATCTAAAAACACTTCTTTGCCATCTCTGCATTTTTATGCCTTCATTATAGACATCATTAATTCAACCTGTCATATTGTACTTTGTTACTGAAAAATGTTCAAAATAAAGAAATATTTTACTTGACTGAAACTCCTGCAAATACTTTTAAGAAACCTGTAGTGCTTCTGCAATGAAGACATGACATACCTTTATGTCAATCTAGATTTTCACTAGAAATTAGTATTTCAGTATTCACTCAAAAATTATTATACAACATAGATACAGATATTATCCCAGAGTTCTTGGAATGACTTCAAGCACTGCACAGATAGAAGGAAATTTTAAGAAGCCGACTTCCCAAAATTGTATATTCCCTCACAATCTCTCTCCCTACTCCCCACATCTCCTACTCAATAGGCATAAATCAAGGGGTTGTTGTGAATGGAAAGATTTGTAGCATAGGACATCTTTTTTCCCCCTTCTTCTTCTGTTGTCAGTTTTTTACATTTCTTTTTTTAATACATATTTTATTAATTTTCTAATTTTACAATCCTGAGTACTTAATAAACGTGTTGTCTGGGTCCATTGGTAATTCAGTGGTATATATTAACTTTCTCAATCTAGTTCCAATACTACACCATCCAGTGCTTCATTGATCCTCTCTTCTTCCAGTGGTACGCATTTTTCCACACTGGGCAAATACAACTCTTGTTACTGTTAATACATATACAATTTAATATAGATATCTTCATCACATTTTTCTGGTATTATACATAATATCAATAGTGTCAGTTTATAATATATTTTCTAGCCAGAACATATCTCAATTGCATTTGCACTTGATTTGTTCAATATCCTGTTTTTCCTGCTTTTTTTTTAAAAAAAAATTCCCATCAATGTTCAAAATATCTCTATTGCTTATAATTTTTTCATAATAAATTATATTTGGGTAACCAAAAGCCTCCCTTATTCAAACCCTTTTAGAATTTTCATATTTCCCATCTCATAACAAAGTATAATATTATAGTTATAAATCCTATCCTTCTAATTATAATAATACTTTTATTTCTAACAGTTATCTATTTTCTTAAGCATATTCAAACATCTGTTTATAGTATAATATCCTATCTAATAGGTCAAAACCTCTATTTTCCTCAGTTTTACTCTAGCTTTCTTCCTTTGCCAAATAACTTTCCCAGTCAGTGCATTTGAATCATCAAGTAATTCTTCCTCTGTTTTTGTATATATTGTTTGGAATGAGGAAGAGAATTTGATTGAAGTATTTTTGGAAGAACGCTCAACCCATTTTATTTATTAAACAGCCTCTGTCCTTCTTCTTCAGGTTTTTTTTTTTCATTTCTTGTTTGTCAGTATTCAGCATTTCTCCTAATAGCTTTATCATCCATTCAATCAGCTCTTCTTCCTTATCCTCAAATGTGTTCTGAGATCTTGACAAGTAAGATATCTTTTCCATTTCTGGTGTTATCACTGCATCTTCTAATTTTTCATTTGTCTGTATCTGTCTGTTAATTCCTTCCTTTAGGTCCTCCATCTTTAGATCCATTTTTTCTAATTTTCTGGGTTACTAGTTTCTTCTTTGTAGTCATTGTCTGGATTTGTAAGTTTAGGTTAGAAAACTATTCTTTTATCTCATTTGCATCATGAAATAAAACAAATGACTCTTGGATTGATTTCAACATAGAATTTCTTTCTGAGATTCATTAACATTTTCTTGTTGGTAATATCACGCTGGGGGCTTCGGAGACAAGTGTTAAATATGTTTTTTTATCATTTAAGGCTAAGTGTGAAACACCCATTTTGTTTTTGTATGTAGTCTTTATAGTCTAATAGGGTCCCCAAAATAGATAAGCAATCCAAGAGGTTTTTTTTTCTCCCTTTTCCTAGCTGCAGTCTGCAAAAGTGAAAGTTTCCAGGAACAAAAAAGAGTCTGGGCTTCAAGCCAAGTTTCTTTAAGCATAATAAATTGTAGTGCCGTGATTCGCCACTAGATGTCATTGACACCGTCTTCCAGCTTTCCAAATCCAAGTCTATTTTACAAACTTTCAAATATCTTTTCTTTAAAAAAAAGTCTCAAAGGTACTTTTAGTCTCCAAATTTCAAAGCTATATATCTGTATTAATTCCAAATTGATGTTGTAGTTTTCTCTATTTTCCCCCAAAGAAATTAATTTGCTGCTTTTCTTTTCCTGAGGGAGAGGGGCAAAAACTTCCCTTCCCTCTCTTATTGGGGAGGATTCTTTGCTTTGGGCATTCTATTTTCCAGGAGAGAAGTATTAAGGACATAGGAATATTAGGCAAGACATGGAGATCAAAGGATTGGAGATAAAAGACCAGAAATATAAATTACAGGCCTTCGCAGATGACTTCGTTTTTATTTTGGAGGAGCCACTGGAAACAGCCACTAAACTTTTGCAAAAAATAAAGAAATTTGGAGAAGTGGCGGGGCTGAAAATAAATAGGGAAAAGACTAAAGTATTAATAAAAAACTTAACAGACAAACAAAAAATCCAACTTGCTAAAAAGACAAATCTTCAAATAATTAAAAAAGTTAAATATTTAGGTATCCATTTAACATCAAAATATACAACAGTAAAAGAGGATAACTATGAGAGATTACTAAAACAAATAAAAGCGGACTTGGAGAAGTGGAAAAATCTTCAATTATCATTGCTAGGAAGGATAGCGACCGTTAAGATGAACATCTTACCTAAGCTAATCTTTCTATTTCAAATGGTCCCTGTTAAACTGAGTCAGAAATTTTTTGTTGAATTAAATGCTACAGTAATGAGATTTATATGGCAAGGAAAAAAAGCAAGAATTAAAATTAAATTATTACAAGATTCCAAAGACAGAGGGGGCTTTGGCTCCCGGACTGGAGACTTTACTACCAGGCAGCCATTTTGCTCTGGCTTAAAGAATGGATAAACGACTTCTTTATCTAGAGGGACATGATTTGCAATTGGGTTGGCATGCGTTTTTGTGGTATGAGAAAAATAAAGTACATAAATATTTTCAAAATCATGCCATAAGGAATTTATTGCTTTCAGAGTGGGAAAGAATTAAACATAAAAATACATGAAAATACCGGAGTGGCTTTCGACAATGGAAGCTTTTGCCTATCCAAATTTAATTAATTATGACAAACTTGTAATTTATAGAGATATTTTGGACAAAGATGGAAAACTTAAAGACAGACAAGTTCTTCAGCAACATGGCATTGACCTAACATGGTGGTCTTATTTGCAAATTCAGACAAGATATGAAAAAGACACAAAATCTACGGGATTTTACAAAGAACAGACACCATTAGATAAAATACTGCTAAAAACAGACAAAAACTTGATTAAAAAACTTTACAAATTCTTGTTAAGCTGGAAGATGGAAGAAGAACAAGTAAAAGAAACAATGATAGTATGGGCAAAGAATTTTGGATATTCCATAGATTTATAAGATTGGCAAAAGCTTTGGGATCGAAATATCAAACTTACTAAAGCAGCTGCATATAAGGAGAATTTATATAAAATGTTTTATAGATGGCATATGACACCAGTTAGATTAGAAAAAATGTTTAAAAATGTATCAAATATTTGTTGGAAATGTAAACAAAAACCAGGGATTTATTATCATGTCTGGTGGATATGCTCTAATGCAAAGAAATATTGGTTTAAGATTCATATATGGTTAGAAAAGATGCAGATAGAATTTAAACCCGAACTGTTTCTACTAGGAATACTAGGATCTAATTATGGAAAAAAGAATGAATACCTAATACTATACGTATTAACAGCTGCGAGAATAGTATTTGCCCAATTTTGGAAAAATGAAAAGCTAACACCTGACCAGTTTATTATTACAAAAATATTGGAATGTGCAGAAATGGATAGACTAACTTTAGAAATCAAAGAGAAAGAAGACACAATTTATTTTAAAACATGGGAAAAATTCTATCAATGGTTAGCAATACAACAGAATGAGAAAAGGTTATGAAATTAAATAGGATAAATGATACTTTTTATTCAACTTTTATATTATCTGATTGCTGTGAATACTCTTATATTTCCGATTTTACCTATAAGTAATTATAATTAATAAGCAATATATCAGTATTTATAAGTAATTATATTCAATTAGTAATATATTATTATTAATATATCAATTAGTAATATATATTAGTACATTAATTATTGTTATTCGTAGAATGAATGATATGTATTGGTTAACTTATTCTTATTATTAGTGATAAATCTATTTAACATAGCTGTTTAGTATTATATTAACTACGGACATTTAACATGTACACCCAGACGGTAGTCTGCTTGCTAAAGTGTCGATTTATTGTTGGGGATAACCCCACTATTGTACCTATCCCTACCTTTGGTTTAATCCTTGCTCTTTACCCTATGTTATACCCCTACCTATTCCATTCCCTCCCCATCCCTATAAAATCCAATTATATATATAATCATCCGGCAATATAAAAAGGACTCCCAGTAATCTTGTATTATGCTCTGATGATGTCAGCCAATCTTTCCCCTGCCAGTTTGGAGGACTTCCTCGGATCCAGCAGAAGGGCTGTTGCCCCTCAGCAATCGACGAGGGTCCCCTCCTTCTTTGTCGCCTCTCTGGAGTGATGTTTGACCGTTTTTAGGGTTCCCAGCAGGGCAAAATTGAACGTGGAAGATGGAGCCCTGTCTTCCTGGACCCGTCACGTCGCAGTGCCTAACTGGAAGTCAGCATAGGGCATCTTATCAATGAATCTACATCCATCTTCTGAGGCTCTTCCTCAATTTGGTAAGATTCCTGTCAGTATTACTTGATAGGAACAATGGCCAAAAATATTTTTTATCTTTTTACTGATCACTAAAGACATAAAAGAGAAAGAATCTGGGCAGTTTTTATCTGCCTGTTCTCTGTCTACTTAGGCACAAGTTATTATGGAGTACAAGGAAATCAGAACAGTATTTTGAAAAATGTATTTGGTATATTATTGGAACCAATTTTGAAAGGTTGTTGCATTAGCTAATAGTTCTCTAGCTGAAACTTCCAGTGGCTTAAAATATGTTTATCTCTTTCATGCAGTGGTTTGTGAGGAAGAATTGATCTTATTTAAACTGTTTACTAATTTCCATTATTTCACCAAGGATAAACTAATTAGAGCCTTGCATTTCCCTGAATGCTTAAGGTGTAGATGGAATGGCCCAACTGGCTTAATCCTTTTTTTTATTGTACTTCAACATAAAATATCTTCTTGCATTCTTTGTAGTAAAAAATAAAGTAAATAAAAGGATATATTTCTGAATGCAAGTGATTAGTAAACCTATAACATTAATTTCATGAATTCAGAATGAATATGTTTTTTTTTTTACAGGATTGTATATTTTGCTATAGAATTTATCTAACAATATCATATGTTTAAGTTATCCTTAACAATTTGACTAAACAAATTTATTTAAATCAAACTTTGGTTTCTGTCTTCATTAGAAAATCATAAGAATATCGCTAAGGAATAGATGTCTCCTTCACAGATAATAAAAAGTAATTGTTATAAGGTGATCATGCAGAGATGTGCTGTTGCTCTTTGTTTCACTCCTGCTATTAGTATCTCATAGTTATTCTCATTTAATCCTAATATTCTTAGTCTTATTATTACAGAAACAGAGTGGAACACAGCTGCTGTAATTATGTATTTTTGCTTTAAAATAGTTTTTCTATTATTTGAGTTTTGGTTGTATTTAAACATTTGCTTCAAAGCCTTCATGATTAAGAAAGACTTTTTCATACTGAGATGCCATCATTCCACATATCAGTTATGAAGAATGAGAAACGTATCATGCTTTAAGACAAATGGTCCTTTAAGTAATAATAACCAGTGCATGGAAGTGTTAACTGTAATACTATCCTTACATATGTTATCATTTAATATAATTCTGACTAACAATACAATGCAGGAAGGTTTAATATACTGTAAAAAAAGAAAATAAACTTCTAAAGGAACTAGTGAATCCCTCATGTAGAGATTTAATACATGAAGCATTATAAAGCTAATATTTCTTATACTTCCTTCTAGGTCTCCTAAGACCTAGACTATGGCTAATATCTCATGACACCAAAAGTAATACAACAACTGATATTAAAGCATTTTCCCAGCTACTTATTCTATAAAATATTAATTACTTGCTTGTGCACATGCAGTATAAGGTATTAGATAACACAGTTCCTGCTCAGGTCTAAATCGATAAAAGATAACATGCACTGCATCAATCATTTCTTAGTCTCTCTTTATTATTAAATATACAGGATATCTGTAGAGACTTTTTTGGAAATAATTACTGAGATTTCCAACATTTAGATATTAGATTATAATATAAAAGCTTACCTAAAAATGATATATTTCTCTCCAGAAGCATTTCTTGCAGTAAGACTTCATGTTCATATCCAATTGCACTGATAATTTTCCGTTAAAGAAACATGTTCCCCAATTTTGATATAAAACTTGATTTTACAGTGGCATAGCTCTTTGTGTTTGACTATAGTGATCTAGAATTGAGTGCTGGCTAAAACAGAACAATTACCTTTGCATTTTAATAACCAATTGTCAATCTACAAACAAGAAAATTAAAGATATTGGAGGAGGGGATGGAATCAGACTGTTAAGGCCTGTTATGAGATAATCTTCTCCTATACATATTCAGCCAGACTGGTGAGTCTCTATAATTACTATGAAGCAGTGAGATATCTCTGGTCAATATTATACAATTAGTTAATGCCTGATGAATTTTTTAAAAATCCAAAAATAATATGGTGTCTTTGTTTCACACCCATTTTAAAATTCAACTTTTCTTCAAGGAATTGCTACAAGAGTAAACAAGACATTTCATAAAGTGTCTTGAAGAAGAATAGGATAAGATGGAAACAAGATAAACTTTTTTAGACTGTTAGAAATGAAACACGACAAATAATCTTTTTCAGAATTCAAAGATAATAATTCCCACTTGTTTGCAATCATTTCATCATAATTGCCTTGGTGTTTCTTTTATTTGGCAGAACTAATTTCAAGATATCTTGCATTAATGCTTTAAAAAGCTTTCTGTAAATCCAGAGGATAGAATTTTTTTCTGGGGGGAAAAAAACTAGAAAATCTCAAGAATTTTGAAGAAAGTTGTTAACTATACTTGTTGGATTTCTTGCACAATTTAATGAATTCTGAGAAAAGTAAATCTAGTAGTGATGGCATGAATCTCACTTTTGAGATGATGTAAAACATTTGATGCATTGTTCTTGGAATCTGGGTAATGCATATAAATAGATATTGCTTTGAGTATTTAGTTATTGCTATACATATCTTGTTTTTGTTAGGCAAAATGGTCCCTATGAGATGCCCTGCATAAATGATTTCTGTTTTTCTATGGTAGTTTGATATTTTTCCAAAAAATGAAAAGCCAGCCTGCTATGAGGAAAGATGTCAACCACTATCATTACTGATCTTTTTTAAGCAACCAATGGGAGGCTAGAACCTAGTGCTTTGCTTGACATGTTTACTTGTCCAGAAAAAAAAGACAGTGTGGTTATAGAGGCTTCCTGAAACAAGATGAAATTGGGTGAGGAAGTAAGAGGCACTAGATCTGAGCTGCAAATATATGGTTAAACTATAGTTTTCTTGTTATATAGCTCTTTGCTAACACTTTGTGGTTGTTTGGGTCTTTGCAGCCCAGATCTGGTAGTACCTCTAGAGCAGGGGTGTCAAACTGCCGGCCCGTGGGCCGGATGCATCATGCTGAAACCCCGCCCACCCCAGCTCTGCCAATGGGGAAAAAGTTGCGATACATCATGACACGTCACGTGACGTGGTGAGTTTGACACCCCTGCTCTAGAATGAGCCTAATTTGAGTTTTGGAAAATGGATATTATATGACTATTCATATCCAACAAGATAGTCAGTTTATAAATAGTACCCCTAGCAAGATTTCAAACTTCTAAATATGTTTACTGCCTTAAAAGAGATCTCCCTTGTTCTCTAGCTATTTATTGCGTGTTAACGCAATGAATCAATCTGCATGAGATTTTTATAATGCCATAAAATAGATACATGCTGGACACTAAAATTATAATTAAGATATAAAAAGTAGCAAATATTACTATTAATGATGAAAGAGGACGTATCTTTCTTTGTTGATTATTTTTCCAAGTTTTAACAATTTTTTTTCAATTATGAACTTATACTTTTTCTACAATTGCATATTATTGTTGTTGCTATCGTTATTTGTCTTGTAGAAACTATCACAACTTGAATTTTTTAAGTCATGAGAAATATGGCACTATGAAAAATTGATGTAGTGCATCAAAGTGTGCTATAATGACAGAATCAACTAAGGAAAATGAATAATAGCAAAAATATAAAATAAATTCTACAAACAGTGTATATAATACAGTGTGAACAAAAAGACTTAGATTTAGTCTACGGTAATACCTGTTATTGATGTATGGCCCTGACCATGGAGCAAAACTTGTAAATAACTTCACAAGCCATTTTAGGCTCATTCAATCCAGCAGCCTTGTTTCCCGTAAATATCTAAACTGTTACTGAAAAACAGCCTCTTGGTAATTCAAAGATGTTGACTTCATACTTTAGTCCATGCATATATAATTAGATAGTTATATTTAAAATCAATATGCAATCCTTAGAAGGGCTACACTTTAAAAACCTTAACTTTAAGTTGGTTTTAAACTACTTTGTATGCCTTAAAATTAATAACTAATTTAGCAACAAATATTTTTAAATAATCTTTCATAAACAGTTAGAAATCATTAAATGTTTAGAAACCTACAGTCAACTACTTTTTGAAAATCTTACATTAATTATTTCTATTTTTTTCCTTAGTGCTCAATGAAATCTGATCTGAAATTAACTATGGCATATATTGCAATCAATACCTTATAGTAAATATGGTTTAGCACAAGTATGGTACTCAATAACCATATACATAAGCTATTTCTAGGTTACAGGCTACATAGGGCCACTTCTTTGACCCAATTTAATAGCCAATATCTAATTATCTATGATAGAGATGATAATGGAAAAACACTACTATGTCAATGTTCTATGATACACATTTAGCAGACAATGATCTCATCTTATTGCTTTTATTAACTATGGTTTGGAACAAAGATAGGCTTACCAGAATCATTTTTCATTCCCCAAAGAAACTCTGCCCAGAAACTCGGTATGTACAGTATATGTGAAATATGTGGTGGGGTTTATACAGTGACTAGAGTTCTAAATCTATCAAAATGTATTTATTTTGTGATTAGCTGATAGGTCTATGTCTTTCATGACATCAAGGTACTGAATGTTTAAATATTTTACTACTATACATTGTCGACTAAGTCAGACAAAACCAGAGAAGCTTTTAGCGCATAAGAGATTGTGCTATAATTCGTTTTCTTGGAGGCACAGTAGTAAGACAATTATGTCTGTAACCTAGAAGCTGTCTGAACTTTGTTGCTTCTCCCAAAACGTGGGCAGACTTCAAACTTGCTCCTATTTTATTATCTAACAAAATATCAAAATATACAGAACTAAGTATAAAGCACAGGTTTACTAAAGACAAATATTAGATGGTGGATCAGATGTTACATTGCTACTTAGCCTGTTCAATATACGTGATAGTGAAAATAATACAGAATCATAAAAAGCACTGATAGCAATGAAAAAAATCAGCATAGTTGTCCTGCAGCATGCACTAGTCTTTTCCATCTGTTAGGAAGAGCCAAAAGCTGCATATTATGCAGCAATTTGGATGAGCAGATGTCCCAGTGACTTGCATTTTTGTAGGTTGGTACAGAAAAAATAACTAACAAAAATGTTTCAAACAATTCAATAAATAAATAATTCATTAATTGAAGACAGAAATTAGGCTCCTTAAAAAAATAAGAACAAACAGGCAAAAATAAACCTGTTTATTTCACCAAGCTTTTGCATAGGTTGTTATAAATTGTATTTTAACTTTAATTTATTGTGGTTCTAAATTATGGTGAGATGTGTTGTAGTAAACCAATATGTATCTTTTTGGAAAAATAATATTAAATTAACTTTTATTTTCAATTAATATATTTATATAATCAATAGAACCCATTAAAATGAAAAAGAAACGGGTAGAAAGGTGATTTAAAAACATACATAAAATATATTCATTCTGAGCAAAAATCAATGAATTATGTATGTTTCAACTACGATGTCTTTAGATTAAGATTCCCTCACATTTTTATAATTGTAAACACTATACAAAGTAGATGATTTCAACGTATTCTGTTTATTTATCTCATAGAATAAGTAACAAGGTTTGTGCTAATTTGCTTAACTATTAACTTTTAAACCCTGTTGTATAGGAACATTTTCATTCTTTAAACATTAAGATTTTCTAGACTGTTCAGTGTATGAGAGAAGTGAAAGAGAACAACCTCCCAAAAAGGTTGTCCATGTAATTAATTTGAACAGAATTACAAGTAGTCTACCCATCCATGAATACACTTAATTCCACTTAACGATAATTTTTATGTATTATCTTTTTTTCATTGTGACAAAACAGTGGTAAGTCAAATTTTCTTGCTCTTAGATTTTAAATCACAGTTTCCGTGGGAAATGCAAAGAAGCTATTATGTCTTGTAAAATTTGCAACTTATGACAACACATAATTTAATACAAGACTGTGCATTTCACGTGACCAACAGCAAGAGGATTTTATCTAAGCAAAGGAAATGTATATCTATTGAACTGACAATTTTCATATGGCATATCTGACATTAGTTAAACAATGTAAGAGACGGGGTCTGCAGTGATCCCCTTGTGGCTGATTGAATGTAAAACAAAGGCACATGATATGTGTTTTGCGAAGCAGAACTTTATGTCAGCTTACAGCTAGACACAGCCTAAGCTCATCAACTCTGCACCTAAAATTTTATGAGAAAGGATACTGTTTGATGCAGTCCACCAACGGTCCATAACAATAATCATTCACAATGCACTGCAGACAAATAAAAATAGTAGTAAAAGGGTTGGCATGTGTAGATCTATTATAATTAATTGTAAAAAATATTTTTTTCTTCAAAATTAAAACTTTTGAAGCGAAAGCTTTTCGCAAGGAACAATGGAAAACAAAACTTGCATCTCTTTTATTCTGTAAGAAATAGGATGTCTACAAAAATAATACATAAAACAGTAAAATGCTCTCTTCACAAATACTGCACTGCTATTTATGCATGGTTGGTCTCCATGTAAGATAATAATGATGTCAGCAATTAAATGAGGTTTTAAAAAATTCTTTTCCTGCTAGGCTGAGAACAGCATTGTTATTGAAAAAAGGATGACTGTGATAAATACCTGATAGACCTGATTGGCTAAAACTCCATCTGGAATCTGAGAAGGATCCCGAAGCAGACTGTTTATAAGAGTTTTTGAAGCTGCAGAAGAAGAAGAGGAGAATACTTAGTATTGCTGTAAACATGACACTAATCAGTTTCTATGGGGGGAAAATAGGGATGCTTAGGGATGAAAAATAAAGTTTTTTTTTCCATAGATCAATATCTTTCAGATTACAGACTGGTAATCTTGCATATACAATTCAGCTCAAATATACTTCAGTAAAGAGAAGCCACGTTTTTGTCATTCATACACACATGTACTGCCCAGAGGCAAGTTTTCGAAACACCCTTCCGACTTCAAGGAACATACTGTATAATATATGTGTATATAATGATATTAAGTATATGAGCCATAATAAAAACAAATACATACAAAGCAAAAACAGTGGACTGTCTAGTTAACTGCTGCTGCAGAATCGCATGAATATGCACAATTGTAGGACAAAGTAGCAAGAACGGCACATTGAAATGCCTGTTAAAAAATAACATTTGCCGACAAGCAAGAACTGGTAGGACCACAGAATACACAAAGTAATTGAAAATGAAGAAGCTGCAGGAGTCCGAGGCTTCAGAATTCAAACCATTTTGGAGTGTTGTTGTTTTCTTAGCATTTATCTTGCATGGTTGCAGACTCATCTGGGTTTGTGCTGCACTCCCCTAGTTTTTACAGCAAAGTTATCACTGCATTATGTGAAGAGGTCTGACCTTGAAGAAGGATGAAAGGGAATAATCCAACTGGCTTTTGTACTAATGGAGGATTAGAACCTGGGTCTCCCCATTCTTAGGCCAGCACCCTAACCACTATACCTGTGGTGGTGAACCTATGGCACGCGTGCCACAGGTGGCACTCAGAGCCCTCTCTGTGGGCACGCATGCCGTCGCCCCAGTCCTCGGCCTTCAGCTGGGTTTTATAAAACCTTTTCGCTTTAGGCCTCTGCCACTGTTTGGGAAAAAAAAAAGGTTCAATCAATCAATCAATTTCAACTTCTCGCGGGGAAAAAAAGATCTCGCAAAGTTGGAATTGATTGATTGAACTTTTTAGTCTTGCCCAGTGTGCCGTTACCACCACAGCCATGCCCACCCAATTGGCCACACCCACTCAATGGGCCACACCCACCCAATGGGCCACGCCCACTCGGCACCCGATGATACATAAGTGGGTTTGGGGTTGCAGTTTGGGCACTCGGTCTCTAAAAGGTTCGCCATCACTGCACTATACCATGCTGTCTCTGGGAAGATTGATATACACAGCCAAATTACTTTTCTAGCAATTGGCTTTACGATTCTCAAAAATTGTGATATTGTAATTCTATAAAATGATCAAATGAATGTATACAGCCCATTCAAAAAATAAACTTATAATTGTATTGGGGTTAAAGTTTAGCAACAAATAAATATACTGCTTATTTATAATCTCTGTCTCTGTCTCTCTCTCTCTCTCTCTCTCTCTCTCACACACACACACCTACACCTAACTATCCCGCTTTTCTATGGTATTTGACCAATTTGATGCAAAAATCTGCTGAAATCAAACAATATAATGACTCCAAAGATTTATATGAAGTTTGTATTTATTTATACAGTACTCATTTATTCACTTATTGTACTATGTGTGGCTTTCAGAGGAAAAGTAAATATGATTGGAGGACATGAGGCTCCTTTGCAGAATTCTGACCATCTTACTTAACACTCACTTCACAGAAGACATAACAAATGGAAGGGAAGAGAGATGAATAGATTGCAATGAGAAGGAAGATGCAGAATTTATATGCACCAAGTACCAGAGGAAGAAAGAAAAATGGATTTCAATAGAGCATTTTCAAAGAGAAGCATCTTTAATTCAAGAAAACACTTTTTTCTCTAGTTTCATGAATGAGTTTCATATTTTTAAAATAAAATTCAGATTTCAGAAATCATATAACAGTAAACAAGTCTAGCCTTCTCATTAGAAATACAGTTTTAAATATTAGGAGGGTAGTTTTTCCTCTCTGCTTAATTTCAGTGAAACAACATTATTTTATAATGTTTAAGATCTGTTATTTTGTTTGTGTGTGTATGCGTCTCTGTGTGTATGTATATGTGTGTGTTTTAGATGTAAGTATGTACGTACATATGTATGTATAAAAACTCAAGGTGGCAAACACACCCAATACTCCTGCCTATTTTTTACACAGCAACACATATTTTAGTCAGCCATGTAATTTTTTTCAAATACATAAACAAACATTATACAATTTCCACTGCATAATTATAATGTAAATTATAGCAACTTCACACCTCTGAATACTTTCTTGTGGCTATATTAATTACTATTTTCAACAACATTGGCATTGTTCTTGTTGCTGAGTTACTTTTCATGACCTGGTGAACAACATCTCTCCAGGACTGTGTGTAACTGCTTCTTAGAGGTCTTATAAGCTCATGCTTGTGTCATCACTAACATTATCTAACAACCTGGTCTTCTGTTTGCCTTTTTTTTCCCCTGAAGACTCTTGCCTATCCACTATGTATCTAAATTATTTAAGTTTTAAATTCATAGTTTGTACTCTCGGAACATTCTGGATTTACTTCATTTAGTATTGAATGATTATTCTTCTTGCAGTCTGAGATACTCTTAACTCTTTTTTTCAGTACCACAATTCACAGACATTGATTTTTCTTTGTTTGGCCTTTCTGATGATTCAGCTTTCCCAGCTATAACTCTTCTAGATTAGGTAAAGATGTTGTCACCATGATTCCATAAAATTTATAAAGCACAGCATTCTAATAGAAATATCCAGTCAAGGTATGCTTACCATTGTAAATATGATTGATTTAATTAGTTATGCAGTTCATCAATAGCAAAGGCAAATAAAAAAATACAAAATGGACAGTTAAACAGTACCAATTTCATGACATTACATTCTGAAGAGAGTCACAGTTTAGCCTTCCTAAATCTATTGTAATCCATTATATTGGATTTCAGCTGCCAGTCAGATGCTGATGGTGACTATGGAAATTACATAAGATCATGCTGCATCAAGCTAAGGACACACTAGAACAGCATTCAGTGTCAAACAATAGCTAAAAGATCCATTCAATTGGCATTTATGGTATTCTGTCCATAACTCTGAAGATAGTAAAGGCTATCAAAATAGATACCTGATAGCATTATCTTCTATTAATGTCTTTAGTTTCTTTTTAAAAGTATCTAAGTTGATGGCCATTTCCATATTTGTCAGCAGCAAATTCCACATTTTAACTATGGGTTATTTACTTATTTATTTGTTTATTTAATTTGTATGTACTCATCTCCTCTACAAAATAGTGGTTACACAAAGAAAAACTTTCTTTGCTTCCTAAATCAACATATCTATCATTATCTTCTTGCTTACCTAAAGACTAAACAAGCGGTATACCCATAAGCTTTTCTGCAATGTTCAAGTCTTTATCTTTATTTCAAACTTTTATCTTTTATCCTAATGTAAAATTTAAAATTAAAAAAAAATAAAAATGTAATTTTAAAGCTATGCAAAACTTGGATAAATATATAATATTCAATTATGCATGTAAACAATGTGGGACAAAGGCATAGCTACTTGGTTCAGGGACTTCTCACTTACCAACTGCCTTGGATGGCAACCATTCAGTTATGACAGTTGAAAAAAAAAGCTTTGGGATCAATCTTTGCATTTATGGCCATTGTAGCATCCCACAGTTAGGAGTTTCACAACTGACTTCCAACAAACAGAATTAATGGAGAACATGGAAGCGAAATTGCAAGTCATATCACATGGTATCTTGCTTAACGATTGTGGCGATTTGCTTAATGATAGAGGCTGAAATGAAGCCTCCAGCACAGTCATCTGATTTTTCATTTAGCAACTGTCTTAGCAACAGAGTCAACGGTCCCAATTGTGGTTGGTGAGGACTACTTACACATATAGTATATGCACATGTATATTAGGAGTAAACCTCTATCATGTCCTGTTTAACCACTGTCAGTTGAATCTAATATGCCCAAGATACTATAATCTTTCATCGTGGACAAACTGCTCAGGTTACCTATCTAATCATTTTGATTGCTAAACATTTTGGGGGAGGGGAGAGGGTTTGAAATTTTTTGGGCTCTTTAGTACACTTAGTAAAATAGTACACTTTAGGAGATTTAGGCTTTGGGAACATTGTACGTCATAGTGCGTTTGCTTACATCTAACTGTATTTACTATACTGAAGCCCTTTCACTCAGACTCAAGAGATCTTTCTCCAATCCCTTTGGTAATTTACCTCTTTGTACTATTTCATCATTTTCCTGTTTACCCCAACTCCAATAATTTATAAACAAATAGTAGATGCTTGATCTTTGAGGAATCCTATTTTGAAATTACTTCCAATTTGAAAATTTGAGAATTTTTCTGCTGTTTCCCGTTTGTGAGCTGACTAGCTATCTATGAAAAGAGAGTGTGCCCCAAGGGTATTATGGTAATTGTGTTTACAAGCCTCTCAAAAAGCAGTTTGTCAAAGGCTTTTTAAAAATATGCAGAGTTTATTGGATCAACCAGAAAAAAGTATGGAAGCTTCTTGGGAAAGATTGCAAGAAATGTGGCCTGCCTTTGGAACCCCCCCCCCCAGGGCTTCCCCTGACTAGACTGTGCCAAAATTCTAGCCCCTCTTTTCATGTTGCAGAATGTGGTAATAGATTAGGAATAAGATGGGTGCTTTATACAGAATCTGACCTTCCCTCCCAAACAGATCTTGGTGCTGCTCACTTTTAAAGAGTGGTCCCAATGTGCCAGACAAAATTTGCAACTCCCTTGAATTGACATAAATTCAATTGCTTTAGGCAGATGAAAGCTATTTTTAAATTTAAATATTTTATCTGAATTACAGTTAAATTAAATCATATTGAAATATATTGATCCAGTTAAGGACAGGGTAGTTTACATATTGACTGGCAAAAACATAAATGCATTCCTGTTACAAGGCCAACATTTACTAGTCTTAAAATGTCCATTGTCAGGTGGCAGATGACTTCAATTTCTCTCTGAACCACAAGCTAT